AAATTAATAATTAAAAAAAGAAAAATGTTTACTTACTGGTGTTCATACTGGTTTTCATTGCTTTCAAGTATTAGAAAGCATGTGTGTGTATGTACAATTAGAACAGGTTGGTCAGAGACAAAGAGCAAGCTCTGAGCTGAGCTGTTTCAGGGTATCAGTTGGAAGCAGAAGTATTCATGTTTAGGATTCGTTGTTCAAGCTGAGAGAAGCTAGACTCCCACCAGTCACTACCTTTAAAATGTCCGTCCTTGGTGGCTTTCGAACAAACCACTGAGACGATAAGTCTGTGACTCCGTTCCAGGCAGTGCCAGTTCTCATAACTTTGGCCTCCGACCCTGGGCAGAGCCTCCCCACAGAGCTGCCGCACCACTGACATTGTGATCTGAGCTACCGCTGCATCTGGGTTGTGATTCACACATGGAGCTGGGAATGAAACAGACACACATTCAGATCCCTCGTCCGCCACTTGCTACCTGTTTGACCTGAGCCAAGTTAATTCCCTGTACCTTTCTTTCCTTATCTGTCAAGTGAAGGTAGTAACCTAACTCATAGGATTATGCGGAGTAGATGAGTTAAGGTCTGTGAAGTCTTCAGCCCATGGGCTATTGCAAAATAAAACCTCACCAACTAATGGTTGTTTTGAAATGTGACTAAAGTTAAGGAACCACAGATCTGAACCCTGGCCTGTCTCATGCCATCCTCACATCCTCTGACACATTAGAGCTGGTTGCGGCAGTCACTCTGTCAGTCGCCCTGTGGAGGGTCTTCCTCTCCTTCGCCGACCCTCCACCTTTCTGAGCATCATGTCCTCTCCAAGGAATAGCCCCTCCTAGCAACATGCCCAGATTTTATGAGGCGAAACCTCATCATCTTTGCCTCCAAAGAGCAATCTGGCTGCACCTTCTCCAAGACATATTTGTTTGTTCTTTTGGCCGCCCATGGGATGTCCAGTGCTCTTCTCCAGCACAGCTGCTCTATGACAGAAAGATGAGCAGTCTTCTTCTGTGCAATTTAATGTCTCAGAAAACACACTGGAGGGGTCAGCGCTGAGCCTGTTCTGACTGGACAACAGTGAGTTGCTGGGAAGGATCTCGCCATTATAATAAAAGTGTTTGTGGAGACTTTATGAGGGTCCTCCTAAATTGACGTGGAGTTTCTCTGTGACTCCTTAAGACTCAAAGGGAACAAGGGGCCCTCTCCCCTTTCCTTTCAAGGAGGAAGGTCTATCCCTTTAGGATGTAACAGTCTAATAAATCTATCATTTTACCTTTAAAAAAAAATTTCAAGGCACCAAGTCTGATGACATAGTCCTGTCAAACACATCAATTCTTCTGTCATCTTTATTCATTATCCAATTCTCAGATGCTTAGCAAGTGATTGGAACAACTATAGGCCAAATCAGATGCATCCTAGTTCTAAAACTGACATCATTACTCCTCAGTAATTCAGAGAGGTTTCCCAGTACAGTACATCTCCTGTTTTCCTGACTGCTGGTCCCAAGCGTGTTAATTGTGGATCCAAGTAAGATAAAGTTGTTGACAGTTTCAGGCTTTTCTCCATCTATCATTATGTTGCCTATTGGTCCAGTGGTAAAAATCTTTGTCTTCTTGACAGGGTTCAGATCTATTGTTCATAGCGTCACTTTGGGTCGTACTCATCTCGACAGCACTTAACAACAACAGAGTAAGGGACACTTGGTTATTGTTTTAAAAGTCTTGAAAGTGATGATTATGAAGCCAAATTAAGGGTCCTTCTTTGTAAGGTACAGATCTTAACATGGAAGAACCATGAAGATCTGAAGGCAACATCTCTCCTGAGGTGGTCCATTTGTTTTATACAGCTGAGTGAACACATTTGTCTGTCTCCTCCTTTGTATTCCTTTCTAAGCCCTGGCAATACTGTGGGTTTGGTTCCAGCTCACTGCAGTAAAGCAGATATCTCTCATAAAACAAATAAAACAGATTCTTTTAGATCACAGTGGATGTAAAACTTTATACTGTAATGATGTGTATAAGTGTGCAATAGCATTCAGGAAAAAATATTGTAAGAATTCCAAAAATTAGAGAATTGTGAGTAGAAGGGAACACATGCTGTTGGGGGCACGTCCTTTGCTCAACTCAAGGCTGCCACACACCTTCAATTTGTGTGAAGCGTGCCCTTGAAAACCACCAGGTGCTCTGTGGGAGAAGGGTGGACAGTCTCCTCACACACAGTTTCCGGCTTATGAAAACCTGCGGGAGGGTCAGCTGTGAGTTGGTCCTGAACTCAAAGGCAGTGAGTGACTAAGTGATTGAATGAGGAATTATAAATAGCTTCTAAGAAAATTATATTCTAAAATTAATCATGTCCCTGGATTTCTGGAAACCCAACTGGATAGGAAGAAAAAGAATTTCCTATGGTTAGTGCCCTGCGCACCAGAATTTTGGATAATAGCAAGATCATGACGAGAGACGCTATAGATATTAAGTCAAGTTCCTCACAATACAACTTGATTTTTAAAAACTATTACACCACCAGAATAATTTTATTAGTAATAGATGCTATAGAAGAGAGAAATTGGCCACTTACATTGTGACAGACACAGTTTAGGAGCATATATTTATTCTTTAGTTGAATACATTTTTTCCAAGATTTATTTTTTATTCCCCCCAGTTAATTAATCTGTATGTAGAAGACTCAATTGTATAAAATCTTTTAAAAACATTTTTTTTCCTCCACACTGATGGCTTAGTTCACGGCCAGTTAGGTTTCTAAGGGAAAGAGCATCAACTCAAGTCTCCTAGCCACTTGCAGGGAGAAGAGTGTTTGATAAAGATTTACAGCCTCAGAGACTCGAAAGCAGTGAGTTTAGGGGGTGGTGATGCTGTTTTCACACTGGTTGCTTTGCAGTCGTAAGATTCAAATTCCAAAAGTGAGATTCTGAAAATTGGTGTGATATGAATGGTTTCAAGAAATTTCATGACTCTTCTGTTATATAGTAAAATATTTTTGTTAACTCTTAAAACATACCTAAGACTGATTTTAGAATTAGCATAAAATGACATTTCAACATGTTATGCATAATTATTATAACAGAATGAATTCATGTTTCTAGGACCTGAATTAGCTAAGACAAGAATGTTTATTGCCTTACACTTGGTTTGCGTGGCCATAGTTAGGCCAAAGCAGTTTTAGAGATGAATTCTGTCAGAGAAGACGATTATTAGAGAGAGGCGTGAACTGTCACTTATTACTGTGTTCAAAAGAGGAGAGTTTCTTTAAAAAGAAAAGAAAAAAGATCAAAGTCTCTGGCCATTCGCAGGAACTGCTTCTTAAGAACCCTTCTTTCTAGATCTGTCTGCATAAATGTTCTGCTGGGATTCTGGACTTCTGAAGAATCTGTAGTTCAGGTTCCCCATCCCTCCTGCCAATGTCTTGATTTTCTACTTAAATGGAAAATGAACATTTTGATAATTTTGCATTTAACTCCACATTTTCATTAAATAATTCTTCCTACCAGTCAGATATCAGTTGACTAAATAAGTTCCATTTTGTCAGAATGTTTTTTCTGTTACTCAGACATTTCTCTTGAGTAGGTTATACTTGAATAGAAGTCACAGCCTGAGCAGGTGTTCTTCAAGCAGAATCACCTTCTCCATTTTCTGGTTTGCTTTGCTTTTATGTCTGTCTGTTCTTTCTTGCTGTACATCTCTTCTTGTGTTTTCTATACTCAGCTTGGTAGAACAGCTAGAGAAAGGGAGTCACTAAAGCCATGACTTCCCTTTCTCCTGTTGCTGGTTTATACCTTATCATTTCGTAAAGCTGGAGGAAGCATCCTATTAACAGCAGTGTGGTTACTCTTTGCTGTGTCTGTATTACTCACACTGTGAGCCCTGCTCTCGTGCCAGTCTGCAGACTTAGCAGTCTGTAACAAGTACTAAATATGGTGGGGAAATCTTTGGAACCTTTTCTTACAATTTGAAGTTTTCCTGGCATCTAAAGATATTCTTTTGTGTCTTGGAGAAGTATTAGTCAACAGTGAATTGAAAGTTTACAAAGAAAGAAAAATCTTCCACTCTAGACAACTTGAAAATCACTGAGGTAGAAGACATCATCTCTAACACATACAATCACTGTTGGTTTGGAGGAGCTGATAATGACTATCCTGTCATCCAAGGTAGTTAGGAGCGCATCTGTAGCAAAGCCCAAATGAATTTGTTCCCCTGGCATAAAAGAATTACTCTATTATAGTTAAGTGAATCCTACCTGTTCATTTGACTTCTTTTTATTGTTTCTTAGAGTTGAAAGAACTCTGGTGGCATAGAAAATGTTGGTGGCTAAACCCAAGGGCCACACCTCCTGGTGATTAGAATAATCCACCAGCAGCTCTGTGGAAGAAAGATGGGCACTTTCCTCCCTTGTAATTTATAGCCTCAGAAACCCACTGGATAGTCTGTGGCAATGAGTTTGACTTAAAGTTGAAGCACTATCTGGCAGCCTTATTAATTTTCTGTTTTGGTGTAGAGTTTGTTGAATGATTTGGGAGACAGAGTTGTGTTTCTCACATGTCTTAGTGAGTTGCAATCACTACAGAATGTAATGGTCATGAAACAGAACCAGTGTTTGGTTTAACATACGAGCGGGAATAACAGAAGAGACGTTGCATTAACATTACCCACTAATTCTGAAAATCTGCCGCTAGATGTGGCACCCTTCTCTTGGATACTATAATCATTACTCGGTTTAAAAATGAAATTGATGGTTAATGGTATTATCATAGTAGAACTGTTTGTTTCATTAACTGCGAAAATACTGATTTTCAGTGTAGCATTATTCCCTAAGATACTGTTTTACAAAATTGGTCTAATATATTTTGGAAACTACTTGAGACAGTTGCTGTTACGCAGAGTGGAGAGAAAGGGGGAAAGAAAAAAAAAAGACATTTCCGCTTGACTCATGTAAAACTAGAATACAGAGCACTTAATCATCAGTGTCCCTCCTTTTTGTGTTTATTGCTGCAGATAACAAGAGAGGCTAACAGACCTGAAGCATGAATTCAGATGTCAGCCAAGGAGTGATTACTTCTCCTCCTCCTCCTAGTATGCCTCACAAAGAGAGGTATTTTGACCGCATCAATGAAAATGACCCAGAATACATCCGGGAGAGGAACATGTCTCCTGATTTACGACAAGACTTCAATATGATGGAGCAGAGGAAGCGGGTTACTCAGATCCTACAAAGTCCTGTGAGTTGACATGTTAGGAGAAGGTCATTTTTTTTTTCTTTCTCTGCATGAACTTTAATATATTGAAGTAGAGGGTATCTTAAACCTCAGGTTAAAAGAGAGGTGGAAGAGAATGGCCAGTTGTTCCTAAACTTTGTGAGGCGAAGTAGACACCTTGTTTATATTTCTGACTTGCAGACCTTTAATAAGAAGCTAGTCTTGGGTAGTATAAGATTTCTTTGTGTGTTTTCTGAGGGAATAGAAGTGCGAACAAAGCTGAAGATCATTAATTCAGAGTAAAAATCAGTGAAGAAAGAAAGTTGTGGCTGGAATGTTGGGAAGCAGCAAACGAGTTAGCAACGTCACATGCACGTGTTTTCCTTCTTTCTTCCTGTACCTTGACACTCAGCTGTAGAAGGGTTTGGAGGAGGTCTGTGATTTGGAACCTAGTGTTTTAAATATGTAGGAGCTTGGGTGACACAAGCAGTGGTCTTTCAGACCCAGAGGACAACTCTGCAGAACAGTCTTGACAAACTGTTTGATAAAGATCACAGTCAAGAGAGCTCTGTGGAGCAGTCCTGCTCCAGAATTTGTGAGGTTGTCGTGAACGGGGGGGCTGACCCAATGGCATCTGACGTCAACAAATATTGCATACACCCGTGAGGATACACACTTACACACACACACGCACCCTGTCAAACCTAGTATCTCAGCTGAAAAGTCTGTCTTTGGAACCATACCCAGATCTCATGATGATGTTAAAATCATGAGTTCCAGTTTGAATCCACCAGATGCTCTGCTGGAGAAGGAGGAACAATCTCCTCCTGTTCCAGCCAGCTCTGATTTGATGGTGCACACAAAAACTAATGAAATGAAATTAAAAAAAAATCATGAGTTCGTTTTCATACACTCTTTCACTAGATTTGCAGGGGTCACATCTGAATGCTGAAAAAGGAAAGACTAGCTTGATTCAACATACTTGAACAGTTAACAGCAAGAGCTCTGAAAAGCCGTCCTTTGCCACAGCTGATAGAAGGGAAGTGGGCTAGGAGACCAGACTAAAGCCAAATGCACTGCCTTCAAGTGGCTTCTGACTCGTGGAGACCCTCCCCTGGTTTCCAAGCCTGCAGATCTTAGTGGAAGGGGCCCAGCCTCATCTTTCTCCTGCAGAGCAGCTGGTGGGTTCAGAGTGTCAACCTTTTGGCCAGCAGCCCAACACTTAGCACATTACCCCGCCAGAACAGAGGGTTGTTCATGTACACACGTCCTGAGGTAGACTTTCTGTAGATACAGAATGAATCTATCCTGTGGTGCCTAATCAGGATCTCAAGCCTTACCTTAAGGGAGGGTTCAGCACACATAGGTTGGCAGTATATTAGGTTTCCATGTCAGATACTGAAATAAACATCAAAGGGTAGAGCTGCCTGAGGTGACCCTAGTAAATCATCTGTCTTGTGCCCTTGTGAATTTAATCACAAAGGTTGCGTCCAAAGCCCAGGGGGAGTTCTGCTCTAAGAAATGCTTCCATACCAGTGGCCTCGATGCAGGCATTGAAGTGCAGCTTATAAAGGCAACGCAAGCTCTGATGAACTTCTTAAGCACAACACGCAGTTTAAAGAAACCTATTCTGTATAAAAAGTAGGTTAACCAGAGTACTCAGGAGGGAGTAAGCGTTTGTTCAGTGCAAACTTGGATTTCTGTGTTTGTAAATACTTGGAGCACGTGTTACTGATTCAGGCCAAAATAGATTTTATTCCCTCCTCTAAAGACATTTCACCTGTAAGAACTAATTTACTAAGTCATTGGTGCTCTATGCCATCGAGTCGTCCACTACTGATAACGAGCCTGTGAACAATGGATCTGAACTCTGCCATGTCCTGTGCCACACTCAGCATTGCTGTCACACTGAAGCCCATCATCAACAGTCACCGTGTCACTCCATCTCCTGGAGGCTCTTTCCCTCCTTAGCAGCCCCTTTCCCGACGACTAGCCCGGCCTAACAAGATGCCCAGAGTACGTGAGACCAGGTTTCACCATCCTTACCTCCAAGCACGCCTTGGCAATACTTTCTCCAAGACGTATTTGTATAGATGTATATTCCCTTTTGGCAGTTCGTGGTCTATCCACTACTCTTCTCTCCAACACCACATCTTGAAGGCATCGATTCTTCTTTTGTCATCCTTATTCATTGTCCGACTTTCACTTGCATAGCAAGTAATTAAAAAGATTATGTTTTGGATGAGGTATACCTTTACTCTTCAAACTACAAATCATTGTAATATCAGTTAATTGAAAAGATGATAAAAAACTAGATTTTTGAAAAGTTTAATAATCCATTTTGAGATTGCTTTGAGAACTGCTCCAAAGATGCCCACTGAGTTCTGACTATAAAGTTTAAAGGAAAAGGAGTAAACTAAGCTGGCAGAAGTTTTGTTTTATCATTTTCTCATTAAATTAAAGATGATGCAACTTTGAAGGGATTATTTATTTTATTCAAATGTATTCCTGTTTATCAATTGCCTTAAAGTTACCTACTTTATTTGTGCCTGGGGAACCTAATAAAATAATGGAGAAATGCGGGCATATCAACTGTCATTTCCTATTCACTTGTTCTTGTGTACCTTTGAGTTGAAACTGACCCATAGCTGACCTTCCAGTGGGTTTTCAGAGACAGAAATCACATGGGAAGGGCTTGCCCATCTTTCTCCCATGAAGCAGCTGGTCGATGCATTGGCTGCACAGTTCCTTACCATTGAGCCACCAAACCTCCATTAGTAGGAAAGATATTTTCTGCCCAGACAGGAACAGAGAAGGCTGAATTAAAATTAGTTGGTGGTACTTTTGCCTGCATATTTGCAGTTGAATTTGAATTTCACTTGTGAAACACTTAAAATGTTCATGTCTTGGTTTCCTACAGCTGCTATAACAACCACCACAAATTGGTTACTTTAAGGAGCAGAAACTTACCTGCTCACAGTTTTGGAGACTGAAAGTCTAAATCCAGGTCTTGGTGGTGTAGCTTCCTTCTGTGGGCCTTTCTGCTAGTTTCTGATGGCTGTTGGAAACCCTTAGTTTTCTTTAGTTGTTTTTTGATGTGTCAGCACATGGAGTTTCCCTTTGTATCTATACTTCCCTTTTTTTTATTTTATATTTTTTTTTAATTTATTTTCATGAACGTTTACAGAGACTTTGGATTTCCATTCATTCATTGTTGCACTTTTCTTCCAGCCCATGCCCCCTCCCCCAATTCGCTTTTCTTTTTGAAACGTAGAAGAAAAAATTCTTTCATTGTTATTCAATCCCTCCCCCCAAGTCCACTCCACTATGCTACCCATCCTTCTGGACTTCTGTCATGACATTAATATCTAATCATGTCAGTCCTCTTATAACAGTGGCATTGTGCCATCCATATTTGTCTTTTTGTGACCGAGATATTTCATTCAGCATAAAGTTGAGTTGGAGCCAACCCATAGCTGGCCCTCCAGCAGGGTTCCAAGGCTGTAAATCACATGTGAGTGTATTGCCCATCTTTCTCCTAGGGAACAGCTGGTGAATTTGAACTGCCAGAGGGGCCTGGCCTTGGTTTATGGTGCAGCTCTCTGCAAGCTGTACTCCCAGAGCTTCCTTTATAAAATAGCGCTGAAAGGGATTGGTAGGCTTAGTAACCATACCATTCTTAAATGACTTCATTGACATATATAAAGAAACCCCATTTAAAAGCAGTGTGGCAAATAGGAGGGGGATGGTATCTGGCCTGCATTCACTGGATAAGGGAGAAGAATCCCTACCAGCAGCACAAAGCCACTTCCTATGAGGTCAGACATGTCCCCATGTCTTCTAACAATTCCAGTACCGACTGTCTCTGCCACAGTACATGCTACTTCTTTACTGCGTTCAATAAGGTGTTACAAGGACCACACAGAACTCAAAGACAAAACTCCTTTGGAGATTTATTAGGGAAGTAACATATTACAGTTCAGCTTTAAGAACATGCAGGATACAATCTTCAGTTAAGACAGATGCTTCTTAGCTATGCTGAAAAGCAGGCCTTTCTCTGACCTTGGTCTTGGTTTCTACTTCCTTGGATAGGTGTTACAAAGCTCTGCCAATTGTGTGCCACTACCACTTTGCTCATGAGCATATGCCCAGAAGTGCTCAGTTCCAGCTCCATAGACTGGCAGTTCTTACTCTACCAGAAAGCCCTCTCAAGTGCCCACTCCACCAGCAAGCACTCCTCTTTCTCCGCTTACAGACAAAGAGCCAGTACCTCTATCTTCTACTGCTCTATGGATTTCTGCCACCACGGCTGCCACTATCTTATCTAGTGCCATCTTAACACTCTCACATCGTTTCTCTAGTTGTGTAGCTCTCTGATTTTTGCAGAGATCTCCGGCCCAAAGGATGGACTGTACCTCTGGTTCATCCTTTTTGATGGTGGTGAAATCGCACTTTGAACTAGTTCTTTTTAAACCTGGCAAAATGGCAAAACCAGCCAGTTCTCATGTTCTCTATGTATTTCTTCTTATTCCACCGAAAGGGTATGTATCCTGTCCTGCCTGTTAGGATTTAGTCTTAAAGTTTACACGTCATCTGTCAACTGTACAGTTAGAAGTGAGTCACTAAGTTCCACCCACTCTCAAGGGGAAGGGAATGAAACACCACCTTTGGAGGAGACAAATGTATATGTATCTTCTGGTCACAGTTTATTTCACAATCAATACAGTCCACTCTCTGGACAATTTCTTGGCCTTTTTTCCACATGCAAAATATACTTACCCTCTTTTAATACCTCCCCCTTCCGGAGTGTTACTCTCTTGTGACCTTTAAGTCCAGAATCACAGTATCTAAATAATGTCCCACTCCGCTTATGTTCTTCCTATTTAGTTCCTTAAGTATTCAGTTCCTTCAAGTACAATTCCTCTTGATCTGTGAACTAAAGACAGTTTGACTCCATACACTGAGTGGGACAGATATAACTTCTGCAGATATTGTTATTTTTAAAAAGGAGTAGCTTGAAGAAAATAAAAATGTATAGAAACTTGGAAATCCATCATTTCAAGTGTTTGGAGTCCTTGAAGAGGATTTAGACTTACTACTTTCCAAGAATGATTCTCTGTGTCTTTTGGCTCTGTCCTCTGGACTCATGGCTCTGCCCTGTAAGTCATCCTTGACCTTGAAAGGTGGGCTCTTTTGGCTGTTGTGTCTTTTTCTTAGCCTGTTTCCTTCAGGTAGCGGTTTTAGGGGCCCAAACACTTGAGCTGCTAACCAAAGGAGTGGCAGTTCAAACCCCCAGTAACTCTGTGGTGTTAATCTATTTCTTTAAAGACATAGCACCTTGGAAGCTTTCTGAGCTGTTTACTCATTCCTCCAGTGTCCTTACAAGTATTAATGGCAACAAGTTTAGTTTGGTTTTTCTATTGCTCCTTTCAGTCCAAGTTGATAGTATTTCTTCTAGTATATTTATCTTAAAAACTGTGGATTTCATGTGAATATTATTGAGGTTCATTCATTTCAAGCCCCATAGTGATCAGAATCATATATTACTAAGTATTTGTAAGTGACAAATTTACTAATAAACCTTCTATTTAAAATTCTCAGCTCATGTGAGAGGAAAGGAAATTAGATGAGAAATTAATAAATACTTTTTATTAAGCAGTTGTTATGTGTTAAATTCCTACTGTATTGTATTTTGTCTTTTTTAATCCAGAAAATAGCCAAGTCAAGTAACTAGTAATGTCCACATTTTATAGCTTAGTAAGTTGAAATATAAAGGAGTAACTTCCCTGGAGTTTTACAGCTGCTAAGAAGTAGGGTTGGAATTAAACTACAGAGCTCACACCCTCGACTCCCCTGCTGCTGTATTGTTAGTGAATGTTTAAAGCAGTCTCTAACAGTGAAGAGCTAGATCCTTCTATTTCTTTAAAGGAGCTCTGGTGGCCTAGAGGCAAGAAGCTGCACTGCAATCCCGAAGGCACAGGGCTTGAGGCCACCAGCTGCTCCACTGGACGAAGGATGGGCGGTCTCCTCCCGTCCTGTTAACAACCTCCGAAAACTTGCCAGAGGGTCAGCTGTGGGTCAGTTCCAACTCGACGGTACACACAACAACAACATTGCTCAAGTTAACTCATCTCAAGTCATCACTGTGGAATCAAAACCATCTCATAGCTGACCCTTAGCTGTAAATCACATAAGCGGTTCCCCCTACTTTTGCTGGTGGATTTGAACCACCAGAGAGGTGGAGCTTAGCTTTTGAGGTAGCAGTTCAGCTCTGTGTAGACTTAGGTCACCAGAGTGTCCTTTGAAGCAGGCATTTTAGTATCTGTAAAGCAGTTTCTTGCTTTCTTCTGAGAAAGTAAAGGACAAAGAAATTCTCTCATCCTGGCCTGGGGTCAGTACATGCTGTTGAATCCGAACCGACTTACAGCTATCCTTTGAGAGTGTTTGCAGAGGCTGTAAATTGCACAGGAGAAATTTGCCCATCTTTCTCCTGAGGAGCAGCTGGTGGATTTGAATGGCCAGTCTCTGCGTTGGCAGCTCAGTTCCTTGTCCAGCAGGCCACCCAACCTTCCTGTGTGGTTCATAGTCATTTTATATTCATAGGGCTTTAGAAATGTATGAATGTCTTCTTCTAAATATGTATGCCTTTGTGGAGGAAATTTTATATAATAGTGTCTCTGATTTAAAGCATTTATGTAAAGGAGCCAGGTACACTTAACAAAAGTCAATATTTTAAAAAATTTTATAATTGGACTAATATTTTGTTTATTAAGTCTTGAATTTGTAAAAGAAAAGCATGCTTACCTGGTATAAACTTTTCCATGAACTTTAAATTCAAATACAGTCTTAATTAGTAATTTGTAATTCTCCTTCCACCTCCCTCGTCTATTGTATTAGAAGATCCAGAATTTTCCTGTTGGAATTTTTGTTGTCTCCTGAATTTCCTAAGAACTTCAGTGGCTTCTGCAGTACAGAAATGTTAACCAGTGGCTTCCAAACCCAAGGAGGGAGGGGTGTATGTGCTGTCACGTCTTCTCAGTCTGCCATTGCCTCTGTATCCCCTACTGTGAGGCATCATTGTTGGACAGTAGCCTCTCCAAGAAAATGTACATGGTTGGCCCAGGTGCCTGCATAGGCCATCATGCTGCATCAAGGAAGGAAGTTGGCCCTGTTCGTTGCTAAGAGTATCCCATGGTGCACTGTGGTCAGGCTCCAAGATTACAGCTATCCACACTCAGCTCTTCCTTTCACATCACATCACAGATGCCTTGCAACTGTTGTCTTGAAAGTAACACCAGCACAGAATCAGAACTAATGTTAACATCCATCACCTGATAGCCTCAGACAGAGGCAGCAGCCAGCAAGCTCTTGGAGGCAAGGATGATGAGTTCTCGCCTCACATACTGTGGGCATGTTGCTGGGAGGGGCTGTTCCTTGGAGAGAGACATGATACTGGGAATGGTGGAGGGTTGGCGAAGGAGAGAAAGACCCTCAACCAGGTGGAACGATACGGTGACTGCTGCAGTGTGTCAGGAAGTGTGAAGACGGCCCAGGATAGGACAGGGTTCAGATCCGCTCTTCTTAGTATTGCTGTGAGTTGTACTTGACTCAGTGGCACCTAACAACAGTAATAGCCTCCGAACCACATTTCTCATACCCACCATGAGTGTCCACGGCATCATAGAAAAAGACAGAAAAAGATCCCTAAACTAGTCAGCTGTTCCTTTAAGCATGGCTCTCTCTTAGCAGGGACTCCCAAGAGATCTTGCTTTCCCACCGTCCTGAGGAAGGCTACCATCAGGAACACAACATAGATTCAACTTTGTAGGGGATCTTTCCCTAATAACTGCCAGTGTGTCCATTCTTTCTCCTCTTGGGGGTCTAAATTCAGTAATTCCAAAGCTTATAACTTGTCCCTTTTAGGCGATATGAGGGGGAAATGAATTTCATTCCTGGCAGGGCTCTTGTTGCACGTATAATCTCAAGTGAAAAAGCAAGACTTATGGTTCATATTGCATGAACCCTCAGATGTGTTTAAAATTAATGAACTAGACATGAGCATGAGAACAAGTGATAAATTTAATGGAATATGTGTCGGGTGGGATGGAAAGACAATTCCGATATTTCAGCTGATGTGAAGGCTTAGGATAGGGTTCAGATGATGAATCATGTCAGTGACTTGAGGGTTTACCAGAATAGAGATTTTCTCCTAATGTCCAGGATTTTTATTTCTATAAACACTTCTTGCAAGTGATGCTTTCTTTCTCTTCCTGTCACACCACCCACCCTCATGCCAAAAAAGAAAAGAAAATAGACAGAGCTCTGGAATAGGAACATCTGGAACCCAAATTTGGAGCAAAGTCATTTCTTGAACACAAGAAAATGTTGCCAAAGGAAAAACAATAAGTCCTCAACTTTACTTACCATCTGGCTTTGAGAGTTTTAAGGTCCTAAGGAATTGCCAAGGAGATCATAATGTGAAAAGCATAATATGATATTATCTTCATGAAGGCCCTTGCACGTATGTGTAACCCATTTAGAATGGTACCACATGCAGAGAGGCACTGCCCCAATGTTGATGAGGAGGGTGCTGGGGCAGTGCCTCTTTGAATGTGGTACCACTCTAAATGGGTTACACATACGTGTGTAAGGATACGTCTCCCTCTTTTTTCAGCAGTTTATACTTGGTACTCTAAGTTGCCTGTTAACAGCAATGCTGCCTTGTCTATATGAAATCTTGTGCTTTGGTATCAAGGATGCTTTAAAAGCAAGCTTCTTGCTGCTTCTAGTATTTTAATATCATTTCATATTTAAATTGGGGAGGTAAAAAGTTTTTCAAAAGAGAAGGGAGAGAAAGATTACTCCAGAGCAAGTTATATTTGGGTGGTTCTGGTCCGAGCGGGACGTATGTCTCAGTGGCTCTTTTTGTGTTGCAGGCCTTTCGGGAAGACCTGGAATGCCTCATTCAAGAACAGATGAAGAAAGGCCACAACCCGACGGGACTGCTAGCATTGCAACAGATTGCGGATTACATCATGACCAACTCCTTCTCAGGCTTCACTTCATCACCCCCCAGTATGTGGGTTTTGAAGAGTTTGAACAATTGCAACTTTCTCTTCTCTTTAAAACACTGTCTTAACTTTAACAGCATTTTCTGCTCAAATTCAGTCTGTAAACTTACAACGTCTAATTGTTGTGGCCTAGTGGTAAGAAATGTCATTGTAATCCCAAAGGCATATATATATGGTTTGAGTCCACTAGCTGCTCTGAGAAGGTTGGGCAGTCTTCTCTCATTTTTCTTTTTCAAGAGGCGATTTACTGCCTCTGTAAACCTGCAGGCAGGTCAACTAACTGTGAGTCACTTCCAAGTCAACAGTACTTAGCAACAATAATCTTTAGGGTGACATAGTATTGGGACCTGTTTTATGACCCTAACTTGCTAGCCTTTGAGGATTATAAGATATACTGACATAACAAAATCCCTGCCTGAGTAAATACATGTGTATTTTAATTGGCATAAGATACTACAAAAGTCTAAAACAATAAGATAATGGAAAAATTTATAAAGCAGGTCCTAAGAAATTATTTAATAACATTTTATAATTCACTGTCCTATGAACTTAGAAGAGAAATTGATTACTGACTAAAGTGACTGAGAAAACGTCATGGGAAGAAAGAGGCCTGAATTACCCAGGTTTCAAAAAAAAAAGTAGAACTTGACATCAAAGCGAGGCTAAGACATTTATTCATTCAGCAGCTCTTTTTTGAGAACCTGGATTTAATGAGCTTAGAACTGTAGAGATACCAAGAGTAAAGAGGCCTTTAAGTGGTGCTTTACCTGTCAGCAGTGAGGTGTACCCAGAAGTCACTGCAGAACATGAGCAGGGACCCAGGGTCCACAAAGCCCATGCCAGATGAGGCTGCCAGGACCGCTTCACGTCAGGTTCAAGCAATGAGCACCATGTCTCTTTCCTTCCTTCTAAAGACTAAAGATTTTCTACTAAAGATTAAAGTCCAAGTTAAAGATTTAAGTCATACTCAATGAACTATAGTACTTTTCAAATAGAAAGACAGTATAAAAAGAGACAGGATGGCGAGGTCGAAATAATCAAGATGAACATGTGTGTAGAACTCGGTGAGGAGGCCAGGACATGGCACACCAGTGAGGGTCCTCGGTTCAGAACTTCGGGGGAGAAGTTGGATCTTCTAGAGCAGGCTTTCACTACTGGACCAAGGAGGGTTCCCATAAAAATAGAAAAGTAATTGATTTGCATGGATTCTAGGAAAGCTGAGAAGAGAGACTGAAAAATGTCTCCAGTGAAGGATGAACACCTGAACTGAAGTGCTTCTTGACATTGTGCACAAGAGACCTCGAGGAGGGCACAGCCAGGGAAGAAGAGACAAGACGTGGCAGCAGGCAGGGTATTGTCAGGGCCCAGTCCTGCAGCAGGCCCAAGTGACTGAGTCTTTTAGCTTGGAGGAATCGCAATCCTTTCAGAACAAACAGGAAAATTCAAAGGTTAAGCTAGTTTAATTAATTCTCTCTATCCTCAAGTATCTGTTATAAACCACGTGCCTTTTTTTTTAGACAGATAAACAGGAAAGACTCACTTTCTGTTCTCAAAAGAGGCAGAAAATAGACGAAATAAAATTATCACAAGTCTTGAAGTCAATGCCACAGGCAACAGCAGGACCCACAGAACACTGTGGACCACGACTTTGGCTGGAGTTCCAACCCAGAGGACACCATGTCAAGGTTTTCTCTCCCATGTCTTTGGGCTGCCACGTGCCTGGCAGCACCCTACTGTCTGCTGTCTGCAGATTCAAACACCGTGCTGGTCCTGGTCAGGAATATCATGCTTGACGCCCCGTGCCAAGCACCGTTACAGCACCAGAGATGGCAAAAGCCCCCACTGCTGAGGCTCCTGGGTTTTGTTCTGTTATTTTCTTAAAAATATTTTTTATTGGTTTTCCTATAATAATTCCTTTACATTATGTTTCATTCATAATACATTGTGCTTTATATAATTTTTTTAATTTACATTCGTTTTCATATGGTCATTCACATACATTCTGACTCCTGTTTTGATGCTAACATTGCTAACACTGCCTGCTTCTGGGTAGGTTGTAGAGAACGAGGTAAGACCACAGTTCACAAAATTCAGTAGCTAGTGATTGCCGTGTGGTGAACAGCACAGAATTCTGTTGTGCGCCCACTGCCGCTCCTTTGCCTGCCAGGTCTACAGTGAAACCCACGATTCTGTCTTCCTCCACAACAGCTCCCACCACAGTTCCTACATCTCAGCTCACTGTCGTTACATTTATTCTGACTGATACAACACTCCCGTGGGTTTCTGAGGCTTGAGATTTTAGTAGAGGAGACAGTCTTCCTCCCATGTTCCTGCTGGTGGGTTTGAACTGCAGAAGGTGCGGTCTGACAAATGGCATTTTGATTCCTACCTTACAGCTCCCAGCTTTGGCACAGCGAGTTTTGTGGACGCTTCCTCCTTGTCTTGGGTGTACAGGCTATAATTATCTTTATAAATCCTGTGGATCTAAAAAATTAAACTGCATAAAACACATCAAATGAACACAGACTGCACATTTGTGTAATTCACTGAAACCAAAATAGTATCTTTCAAGATCCTCTTTCAAAATACTATTAAAAAATTATTGCTGTTTCCAAAAGCAGTGCATATTTTATAGCATCATCCTTGAAGAAAAACCAATTCTCATTTTGCTAATTAAATATTCATATATTTAAGGTGTCCTGCATGAAAAAAGAAAACAAAATGATCAGCTAATGTGAAATACTATACAGAGAATTAGAAGACTATGATGTGATGGAGAAACTAGAGGCCACTTTAGTTGTGACCCAAAGAAGCTTCCCCGAGAGGGTGACGTTTAAACTCAAGTCTGAATGGCAAAATGGAGCCAGTCACACTGAGATAGCATTCCAGGTGTCAGGAGCACTTACGCACGTGCCGTAAGGAAGGAGGGAATTTGGCCTCTTCAGTGAATACAACATAAAGATAATGATTAGCACGAAGACCTGGGGATGTGTTTCTGTCAAGGTCACAGCCAGGAAAACTCTTTGATGCAGCTCTGTGTCGTGTGGAGATGGAATGAGTCGACATCCACCTGATAGCACCCACCAACAATAACTGTATGTTTTAAAGGGGGGAAGAGATCAGATATATCGACTCCCAGATCTTGGAGGGCTTTAGGGCCAGAGTTGGAAGTTAGTCTCTCTTTGATGGGAAGCTATTTTAAAAAGAGGAATGACTTAAATCGGTATAGTTCCTATGTGGAGAAAATGAACTGGGAAACCATTAACATATTCAACAAAAAATAACAAAGTCCAGAGTTGGGTCCAGTTTGGTTTGAGAAAGGGGGAATTCCACAACAGGCGTGCTTGATGTGGACTGCCAAAACATTGCAGCAGTTGGAAATTAGTTTGAGAGTCTTGGCAAAAAGAGTATTACTCAAAGTTGTGGACGTTAGTTAAATAATCATTTAAGAGGGTATAGTTGAAAAAGAGTGCAAAGAGGAAATTTCAACAACTGGAAAGAGAAAACTAGTAGAGTTAAGATAGAAAAATGAGAGAAACTAACTTGTGACTGTCCCAGATACAGGCGAGGGCAAGGGAGGGGCAGCGGGCTTGGGCTGGCTGCCTGGATGTCCACTGCATGGCAGCAGGGAAGCCATGTTCCCGTATTGAGAGGTCAAAAAGTAGACGGCAGCCAGTTTGACTGGAATATTTGTGTTGTGACGTCTTGTAAAATGCACTTAACATTGGAAAGGTAAGGGGAGATTGCTGAATGGCTGACTCTGAAATTTGGTTAGAAATGTTTACTATTTCACATGGCTTTACATACTCCCAGAACAATTTAAATCCGTTTACAGCATTTCAGAAATGAAGATCTCACAGCTAAACGTTAATTTGAGATTTCTCTCTTGAAAGTTCTCCTAGCCCTGGGCCGCTGTTCTTACATGATAGCAGCTAGTTGAAACTGAATTCTGGCCACTCAGACCAGGTGCATGCTCTCCACTTGCCCATAGGCTGCACATGGCTGAGTGACGCAGGGAGTAAGAGAAAAATCACTTTTAGACTCTCATTTTGTGGTATGTTCATTGTGCTGCCATAAGAAGCCACGAGCTGAAGAGACTAGAGTGGAGAGTCAGTGACGAAGATCAGGTGTCTCCCTGCACAGAAATCACAGCTGGAGGCTTAAGAAGATGTGCTCTCAAGGGGAAAGTGAAATGAGAAAAACCAGAATGGCTGGCTGAGCTGTGGGGAATAGCCACAGTGAGGAGAAGGAGGGGAGGAGAAGGAATAGAAGCAGAAGGCAGCAGCAGCAGCAAGTAGAAAGGGAACAAAAGATGTGAGATGCTATCGCAGGGCCCCAAAGAAGGATTCTAGGAAGAAGGCAGGACTGAATGGTGTCAGGCTCCAGAGAGGCCAAGGAGAGTGAATGGGCATGGGGACAAGTGGAACTTGGCAACGGGGTCAGACCAGTTCTTGTTGCTTTATGAACTCAGAAGCCTAACTACGGTTTGAATGAATGCTTTTGCCATCTCACTATTTCTTTAATTGGAATAAAAACAAAAAAGATACTCAAAAAGTAGAGAGGGTTTTTTTTTCCCCTCCGAGGGCTTTGCATCATAAAATTAGAAACAAGCTTAATATTTAATAAAACATTTAACTTTAGGGGTATCTCAACTCTTTTGTCCAATGGTATGAGCATTAAATGGCATAAGTCCCTTTACCAAACAAGTAGAAAAGATAGTTGGTACTTAGTTTTACTTGCAGTGTACATCTTTGGCGCAGGATAAGCAAATTAAATGGCGGTGGAGACTGGTAAAGGTCAGGTCCTTGTTTTTAAGGTTACTTTCCAGTTGCTTTCTTTAGGCTGTGTGAACTACTTACGAGGTAAGGGATCCACTCAACTTGAATCTCTTCTGGCCATCTTCCCTCTTTCAGGCCTTGGCATGGTGACACCCATCAATGATCTTCCTGGTGCAGATGCGTCCTCTTACGTGAAGGGGGAGAAGCTTACGCGCTGTAAGCTTGCCAGCCTGTACAGACTTGCAGACTTATTTGGATGGGCACACCTGGCAAACACATACATCACAGTGAGTTCTTTAGCTTTCACTTCTTTTTTTATTTTAAAGCGCCAAGGAGAATACAGCTGTCCTCTCCTGGCCCGTGAGAAGTCCCATCTTCAGACAGCACTCTCTGAACCCAGAAGTCTGGATCACAACCTTAAGTCTGCTTTCTCCAGTTACAGCCACTTTCTTTTCTGTTTGCCATCTATGGTGTTTCTTTCACTGAGACAAGTTTTAAATCCTATCCAAGAAAAAGTCTGGGTTGTAAATCTTCCATTTTCCCTATTAATAATCTTTGGTGTTTAAAAAATTCAGGGCAATGAAAATAGAAGGGGTCAGGGAGGTTCCCAACCTGATTTTTAGCTTTCAATGTCATTTTCCAGTTTACCTTGATCTTGGAAGCTAGGCAATATTTGGAAGTAAAATATCATAATATTGTGATGGAAATGGCACACATGCCTGGTGCTGTCCACCAGCAGCCGCCTTCCTGTCCCCTCGGACTCGTTAATTGTTTCCATTCCATGTCCACCCTAATTCCTGTCATTCTCTGTGGCCTGTGTTATTAATGTTATAGTCATACCCACATTGCCTTTAGTAATACTGGTGTTTATGTCTCATAAAAATAGCTAAACCCCAGAATAACACTTCAGGTAAGGCCAGTGACTGAGAGATCACAGTCAAGATTCTTTAGAAAGGACCTGAGCATGAAGGAAAGACAGTCTTTCAAGGACTCTGTCCTGTTGCTAGTCCTCTTTATTTTTTTACTTTGTTGGGTTTTTTTCCTCAACTCTCTTACAATTACCTAGTGTAAAATATGTCTTCCTAGTCATGTTTGTGCTGCAGTATATGAACACCTCATTATATTTCTTTTGTATATTTTTTTTTCTTTCTTCCAGGTAAGAATAAGTAAAGAGCAAGACCATATTATTATTATTCCCAGAGGCCTATCTTTTTCTGAAGCCACAGCCTCCAACTTGGTATAATTTTCAATCTTATGTTACTGTTTCTCAACTTGATTGTACTTTTTTGACATTTATTAGCATAGGACAGAACAAAAAAATACATGGGGGGGAACATTTACTAGTAGGAGAACTAACTAGTAAATAAGGGAACAGGAAGCAATGGTGGCTTAATGGTAAGGAGGTGCGCTGCCAATGCAAAGGAAGGTGTACCTACTTCATGGGAGAAAGATGGGCAGTCTCTTCCTGTGTGATTAACTGCCTCTAAAGAACCTGCTGGGGGGTTATCTGTGGGTCGGTTCTAACTGGATGGTACATGCCTGTAACAGCAGTGAATAAAAAAAGTTTAAAAAGTTACTTTTATTTTTTTAAAGTTACTTTTATTTTTAAGAAAAGTTTTAAGCTTCCAGAAAATTCTTAATTGATCAGAGTAATAAGTAATAATACTAAGCTGTGTCATTAAACTATTTTTGTAAGTGAGCCTTTATGGGAACACAGCTACGCTCTCTTAACAGATTCTCTCTCTCTCTCTAACTTACTGTTTGTGGCTGCCTTTGTACTGCGGTGGCAGAGTTAAGTTGTTAAAACAGGGCCTCATGAAGCCTATTTACTGCTATCTGGCCTTTCATGGGGAAAGTTTGGAGACTCTTGGTTTCATTTGTGGAGTGCAGGCAAACATTGATGGGTGTGTGTGCACCAATTAAATGTTGGTCTCTTTTCCCTCCGCCAGGTTAAAGTCAATATAATAGGAGAAGTGGTCGACCAGGGAAGTACTAATTTGAAAATTGACCATACAGGATTCAGTCCCCATGCTGCAATCTATTCCACACGGCCTGATGTTAAGTGTGTGATACACATCCACACCCCGGCAACAGCAGCTGTAAGTCAGTGAGTGGCCCAGGCCAGCAATCGCTCCAGGAAATGTATTCTTTTCATGGCTTTGTTGACATGATGATTTCATGTCTGCAATAGCATCAGACCCTACCAATCAAAAATCGTACTTGAAATGCCAATCCTCTGCATTTGCAGAAAGTAAATGCTTCTGTTCTAGGAAGCAATCTGAGAGATGGTATTTGGATCTTAAAATCAATCCGCTCAATAATTGAATCAGTGAGTCTTCTCTCATAGTATTTGAATGTAATGAGTACACCGTACTGTTGGGGTTACTGAAAACAAGCACCCTGTGTGGAAGTGTATTTTCTAACTAAAAGTGTCATCTTGACATGGGCCCATTCAAATAGATATCCTCCATGAAGTGTGGGATCCTTCCAATCTCTCAAGAGTCCCTGATCCTGGGAGAGGTTGCTTATTACGATTACCAAGGGTCGCTTGATGAGCAAGAGGAGAGAATTCAACTGCAGAAAGTTCTGGGGCCGAGTTGTAAGGTAGGCAGTCAAGTTTCTATCGAAGGAGCTATTTTGGTTGCTGCTGTTGATGAGAACAGGGTAAGCTATGACAGTTATTTAAAGTGATTGCTTTGGGATTCTATTTTAGGTGCTGGTACTCAGGAACCATGGTGTGGTAGCACTCGGAGAAACTGTCGAGGAGGCTTTTCATTATATTTTTAATGTGCAACTAGCCTGTGAGATTCAGGTAGGAAAACTGTTTTTGTTTTAGTGACTCTGTGAAGTTGTGTGGTGTTGGTTTTGTGGCTTTTTTTTTAGTTAAATTTGTGTTTGTTGAGGTTTGTTCTTAGTTCTAAAGCTCTGTTAGGGGCTTTAGTTTTGTTTCTTAAGAGAAGTTCTGCACCACTTCCATAAAAAGTGTCAACACACTTACCTCTTAAATTGAAAATAGGAAGGGAAATGAAATTCACACACAAATGCAAACCCGAATGCCTCAGAAACATAGCTTTCCCCGTTCCCCCAGCCGCAGTTCAACTTTTAAAAGTAATATCATTGCCTAGCTCTGTGTTTTTACCTTCTTGTGACAGAGCTAATTAGCTGCAGAAACAGAAGCAGCTCCCGCCACCAAGGAGCAAATGTAGTCATTCTTATAAAGAGTCTGGAAGTTTTCTAAACTCACGCAGTGAGACTAAGTCTGCTGTCTCAGCATTATTCTAGGCAAGAGAGTTCATTTGCTTGAAAATTTTTTAAAGGTGAAACTGTTGTTGTTGTTGTTATGTGCCATCGAGTCGCTTGAAAGGTGAAACTAGAAATCTATTTTCTAGTGACGAAGATCAGAGAGTTGAAAAGTGCCTTTTCAGTAGATGTAAAAGATACTTCTCTCACAAGAATGTTCTTGCCTTGCCTTTGTTGTTCGCAGCCTGCACAGGTGCCATGTGTACTGACTGCGTTGAAGTTAGGCCTGGTCTTTCCAGTGTTGTGCCTCTGTATTTCATTGTTCATTACAGGTTCACGCATTAGCCGGGGCAGGGGGAGTAGACAACCTGCTCATACTGGATCTTCAGAAGTACAAAACGTTCACTTACAGCATTGCAGCGTCTGGAGGAGGAGGTGTGAACATGGGTTCCCATCAGAAGTGGAAAGTTGGCGAACTTGAGTTTGAAGGGCTCATGAGAACTTTGGACAATTTGGTAGGTGAAAAGTTGAACATAAAGTTGGCTCTCCTGTCCAGAACTTTGAAGGATGCTCCCTCCTGTCTGTCTTTGATTTGGAGATGGGTCCCTTCCTACTCCAAGAATACATTTCAACCCCACAGAGGCATTCCAGTGTTAGTTAACCAAGTTTTTTAAAGGGCCAAAAAGTAGAACATGCAACTGTTATATTAGCCTGTGCCCTCTTCCACAAAGAGTAAGTGAATTCAGATGGCTTTCAAATCCAGGAACAAAGACTGAAATGAACACTGAGATTTGGTTCTCGAGAAGCCATTTGAGAGGTAGAATTTTTCTGGTCAGCAGTTTTGAAATTACCTTTTGCAGGTGCAGTTGTTTGTGGAAATGGCTGTGTCAGCTGCAATCAATTTTAACAAATCTTGAAATTCACCTAATTTCAACCGTGGTGTTATATAGAGTTTATGTGGAACTTTAAAGAGGCCTCTCCCTTATTTTTCTTGTAACAAATTGAGTCTTTTTTAATAATTTAAAGTCATTAAAACCTTGTTTAAAGAGTTAGAATCAGGGTGCCTGCTTGAACATGTTTGATTGCTTAATATGAGTGTGGTCTTTCCTTCTCTTAGGGGTATAGAACCGGCTATGCATACAGACATCCCCTCATTCGAGAGAAGCCACGGCACAAGAGTGATGTGGAAATCCCAGCAACTGTGACTGCCTTTTCCTTCGAAGACGATATGGTGCCCCTTTCACCTCTCAAATACATGGCACAGAGGCAGCAGCGTGAAAAGACAAGGTGGCTGAACTCACCAAACACTTATATGAAAGTCAATGTGCCTGAGGAGTCTCGGAATGGGGAAACCAGTCCCAGGACCAAAATCACGGTAGGCCACGATTTTACATCATTTGTGTTTTCTAAATATTCTCTCTAGTTATGCATGAGTTGCTTTTTTTTTTATCTCAACAATTTTGGAAAGGTAGGTAGAATGTAACAATAATATTGTCACTCAGTTATTAGGTATATAATTTCTGTCAGGGTAGTGTTCTAAGTGTTCTACATTATCTCATTTAATTTTTCTAATAATTCTATGAAACAGACAGGATTTTCCTCCCATTTTATGTCTGTGAAAACTGAGGCCCAGAGGAGTTAATCAGTTCTTTTTAATCCTAGTAAACTGACGGTGGAACTCTGTTCTTACCTGTTACGTCCCAGTGTTGTTGCGTCGTCCCCAATTCATGGTGACCTTGTAGGAGGAAGTAGAACTGCCTCACAGGGATGCCGAGGCTACATGGCTTTACAGAGGCAGAACTGCTCTGTCTCTCTCGTGGGTGGTGGGTTCACACCGCGTACCCTTATGTTAACAGTCGCGTGCTTAACCACTGTGCCGCCTGGTAGTGCTTCTGTTGCGCCACCTAATTAGAAGGTTGCATGTCCACAGTACATGAGATGAAGTCCCACTGGCCTCACTTCTGAGGAACATTCTGCCTGTATTTCTTCTTTTTGAGTTGTTTGTTGTTCTGAAAGTCCATGGTCTAGTCAGTACTTTTTACCCACACCATAATTTGATAAGCAACATATGATAGGTGGAGGGAAAAAGTTTAAATTGTCAGTGATTTCATTTCACTTGGATCCACAATCTATACCCATGGGTGTAGCAGTCAAGAAATCAAACAGTGTTGCCTTGGGAAAATCTGTGGTCTCCAAAGTGCTGAAGAGTAAGGACGCTGATTGAAATCCTCAGGCGTGCCTGATCCAAGCCAGGCTATTTTCAATCACTTTGTATGCATCTGAAAATTAAATAATGAATGAGAATGACAGATGCAGCGTCAAGGCCGTTGAAGTGTGGTGTTGGAGAAGAGTACTGGATATCCCATGGGCTGCCGTCAGAGCAAACAAGCCTGTCCTCAAGGAAGTACAACCAGGCTTCTCCTTGAAAGGCAAAGGTGGTCAGACTTCACCTCAACTTCGGGCATGTTGTCAGGAGAAGCCAGGCCTAGGGGAAAAAAGACATCATATGTGAACAGGTGGAGGGGCAGAGAAAGACAGACCCTCGAGGAGATGGATTGACACAGTGACTGGAGCATTGCCCTCTGACTGTGTTTGACATATTTACAACAGCACGTTAAAAAATTCCAAAACGGAAGAGTTTAATTAGTAATTGAGCATATTCATGTGAACAGTTGGGAAATTTATTTCATAAGAAGTGAGCACTGATTAGGAATCTCTTCCTCACTAATAGGAGAGATTGGCTAACTGACCTCTAATACACCACTAAGGGAAATGCTTTAAAAATGTGCTCCACCCCTACCACCATGAGTTCATAAATTTTTACAGAAGACTTCTTACTACATAGCTTCATTCTAGAATTTTTATATTATTCTCAGTGGATGAAAGCAGAGGACTCCTCTAAAGTGAGTGGTGGAACACCTATCAAAATTGAAGATCCAAATCAGTTTGTTCCTTTAAACACAAACCCAAGCGAGGTACTGGAAAAGAGAAATAAGGTAAGAGATGATTTTCTGTGGCCAGAGAACACATTTTTTTTTCTGTTTTATGATTCGGTTACTAGCAAATTAATACCAAATTCAAGGGTTTGAATGCAGAAGAATTTCAAATTTAATTCAGGGTCATTTTTAGCTTGTATTGGCTTATATTTCGCTTGCATTTATTACTGTGTTATTTAGCTTGTATTATTCAGGGTCATTTTTAGCATTAACTCTGTCTGTCAGGGTTCGGCTAGGTAAGGAAGACATATTAAGCATATTTCTGTCTTTAAGAGTTCTAGTATTTACAGATAATACAGTTCTCTAACAGTTTAATAGAAGTTGTTAAGACTGTAGAAGAGGATTTCATGGAGGTGGGAATTGAAGAAATTCTTAACTTATGGTAGAGTAATCATATTGTGAGCTCTTGGGGCAGAAAATATATCTGCAAGTTGCCCCTAAAGACCTTATTGTTACTGTTTTTGAAATTCAGATTCGGGAACAAAACCGATATGACTTGAAAACAGCTGGACCCCAGTCTCAACTCCTGGCTGGCATTGTCGTGGATAAGCCTCCATCTGTAAGTTTGTGAAGCTGTTCGATCTTCATTTTCAGTCTGCCACACCCATATCATTACTTTTCAATATGAATATTTTGTTTCTACCAAAGTAATATAAGCACCGAGTTTTAAAAGTCAAATAGCTCACAAGATTTAAAGTGCTAATTCCCAGGGACTTTCCAGTACCCAAGGGTAAGGACTTTTTCTTCTTTTCATTCCTTGTATCATTTACCTTTTTGTTTGTAAAGATGCGTCTGTATGCTGATTTTCCTTGGTTAATCATTTTGGGACCTCTCCTATTTTTTAAACTTCGTACTATGAGTAGAAGTTTGCAGAGCAGTCTCTGGAGTTCATTCAGCCATTCACATGCGTTTTGTTTGATGACGTTGGTCCCAGCCTGGAGTGGTCGCTTCACAGACCAGCTCATCCTGACCATTCACGTGTCTTTGGCCTCTGCCGCATCCTGTTTCCTGTCCCCACCTGTCCTGAATCATGTATCTTTGTCCTCTTATTTCACACTGTATCATCACTCTTCCCACTCTCTCTCTCCTTGCTTCTTGTTCCTGTTCACCTTTCCAGCCTCTCTTTTCCTCCATTTGACCTCCATTTGACTGGGTCAGTGCTGCCCTTGGGATCTTGTATGGTTGACTGTTCTAGGGACTCACTGCCACTCTGGTATTATTGTTCATTGTTCATCTGACAGATCTGGTTTTAGGCTACAAGTTGTACCACAGGGGTGAGTCCAGCCCAGCCTCCAAGAGTGGCTGAGGGCCGTAGTCTTGGGACCTCCCCCAGCCTCTGTCAGACCAGTGAAGTCTGCTGAGTCTTGTTCGACTTCGCTCTCCCACTCTATCCGGCACCCTTTATTGTGAACCCCTTTCAGGGCGGTGAACAGTGATTTCGGGGCTCCGTCTAGTGCTTTTGGTTATGGAAATTGAGGTTCTCAAGGTCTGTTAGTGCTGTGAGCTGTTCCCATGAGTCTTTGATTTTCCTCACTCTCCTTCAGAAGAATGAGATCCGTGGTTGCACCTAAGATGACCACTTTATGTAGCTTTTGTGGCTCTCAACGATATAGGGTATAGAACGTTGTATTTGCAGACTGTTAGGCTGACTGCCCGTGATGTTCCCCGACAGTGGCCTGGAGGTCCCTGACCAGTGCTGACTCCTTCACTCAGAGAATTTGGTGAGGGTGAAGAAATCCACCTAAGGTTCCTCCCTTTCAGCTCTACTGTATATGTAGATATGCTTGCACCACATACAAGTGCTCATGTTGAAGTACCACTTGCCAAACCTCTGCGTGATCACTGGAGAGAGGTACTGTGCCGAGAAACGTCAGAGGGAGAGGAGGACCCTCAACAAGATGGATTGACAGTGACTATACCATGGACTTGAGCGTGACAGATTGTAAGGATGCTGCCGGATAGAGGGGGTTCAGATCTGCGGGTCAGAGGGTCCCTGGGAGTTGTAATCAACTCGACGCCACCTAACCTCATATGTGATCCTGGACCTTCTGCTGTGTCTCTTGGAATCTCTGTCATCAGTTAGAAGAAGTGCCATGATTTTCTGTGTCACTAAGAGAGAAAAGCACTTTGCATTCTAACTGTAGTAAACTGTCCATTGTAAGATGAATCTCTGTTTTAGAGATGTGAAAACGTGTCAGTGGGAAAGGGGGCATCTTCATGTTCACGAAAGACAGTGGTGACTTCTATCATGAAAGAGGAGAATTCACCCAGTTTTTATTTGACCTGGTGAAGATTTTTTTTTTAATCTGCTTTCTGTGTTTATGTTATTAAACATTTACTGCCGAGGCAGATGGTATAATATTATAGTTCCTCTCTTTTACAACCCCCACCCGAAGAGTTAATTACTCCCTCTTTTTTTTCATTGCCTTATTGTGTTGAGCACCTGGCTTGGTGGCACAGCAGCTAAGCACTTAGGTCCTTGCTGAAAGGTTGGCGGCCTCTGAGGAGAAAGGCGGAGCAGTTGGCTCCCATGAAGCCTCGGACTCCCTAGCACAGCTCCGCTCTGCCTCATGGCAGGCCTGCGAGTCAGAATCTGCAGCAGGTGCCTGAAAACTACCATCAGGAGCTTCCCCCCAAATTTTTCTGCAGAAATAGAAGATCCCTCTTGCCGCTCTTTTCCGGGAGGTCAGAGGAGGGGACAGGTAGTCTCGCAGTCGTTCGTTCTGGACTGGTTACACTCCAGACCGGCTGCACAAGCTCATCCGGAGCATTCATGTGCTTCTGCCTCCGCTGCATCCTGTTTCCTGTGTCCTCTTGTCCTGAATCCTGTGTCTTTGTTTCTGTGATTTGGTCTTTGCTCGTGGAGCACATCCTCTCCTAGGGCTGAGAAGGACACGTGGGAGGCAGTGGTGTGAACTGACTTCTTGCTGCCCTTGTAGGTGTGCAGGTGGTTAGAATTTGACAGCATCGCCTCTTTCCTCTAACTCTGGACCGATGTGAGAAGGAAAGGAGACCATTGTGATTCTTGTACCTTTGTGTGTGCCGTGGCCTTGATTTGGTTCGATCTTTTCTTTGTCCTGCTGTTTTGAGATTTTATCTGAGCGTTCTTGGAGCTCTTTTTTGTTCTTGTTGCTTTGTAAATGGTCATTCATCTACATCATGTTGCATTTACGTGCATTGTGTTTTCTACCATGATTCATATATGTTGTATAAACAAGAAAGAGGGAACTTGGACAAAACAAAGACAACTAAGGGTACTGAAAAGAAGCTGGAAAATTATTCCCTTAAAAAGTGAAGAAAAAATACTCTATCCACACAACAAAGACCAAACTATAGTAAGGGCGGTGGGGGGGGAGCATTCAAAGAATAAGAACTTTTCACAATTCTTTTTAAAAAATAAATATGAAAAGTCAAAAGGCCATGAAAAGTTAGAAAATATAGTAAGAATATCTCTTAGAAAACAGGACAAAAAGATGAAAAGTCGGAATGAAAAAAACCAAGTCAGTCAAAGAGATCTGACATCCAAACAAGATATCCTAAGAGAAATTAGATGGGGAGGGGAGACCATGGAGGAAACAACACAGAAATGCTCAGTTCTGAAGGGTGTAATTTAGTGGATTAAAGGCGGTTACTAAATGAAAAGAACAGGAACCGCTTCAAGGAGTTCTGGGGGTCTAGTGGTAAGCAGCTGTGTTTCAATCCAAAAAATACACGGTTCAAATCTGACAGCTGCTCACCAGGAAAAGGTTGGGTGATCTCCTCCTGTGCAATTTGCTGCCTCTGAAAACCTGCTGAAGATCAGCCATGGGTCAGTTCTGTCTCAGAGGCACACAACAACAGCATGTCCATTGCAGCAGTATTCACAATAACAAAAAACAGGCCAAATGCCCGTCAGCGAATTAATGGGTAGAGAAATTGTGGTCTTTTCACACCATGGAATACTATGCAGCATTAAAGAGCAATAAATTCATAAAATGTTACACACGTGTGTAACTTGCCTGCCACCCCTGTTCAGCTGTTCCTCTCAGTGGTATCTAACAGCTCTAGTTACTGAGTCTCACCGGCCCCTGTGTAAGACAGGTGAGCTGCTCTCTCAGATGCGGCCTTTCCTAAAGGACTTCGGCTTCATCCTTCTCGGCTGCTACCCCTTATTCTGCCTCCTCTCCATCCTCCAAAAACGCGTTAACATTTCTCATCCTCTGTTGTCTATTCACTCGTTACTTTGTCCTCAAATGTTTATACAACGTTCTCACTTGTCCTGATGACTATTACAGCAGAGTGTTGAGGAGGCATCAGAAATAATGCATGTTTTCCATCTGCCAAGTTTAACTGAAAGTCCCAATAATTCCTTTCCTGGAGAAAAAGAATGAGTTTGTTTTCACAGTTTCCTTTTTCTAAGTAGTTTCTTTTTTTCCTTTTTTTTTTAAGCAAAGCCTTTTGGTTTTTTAGGCTGATTCTTAATTATGTAAAACTTACTAGAACTTAGCATTTTTTTTCCCAGAAAGGGGGTTATTAGATTTGACCTATACAGATTCATTAAGGAAACATCCTGTTACATTTCTTTGGCTCAAAAAGTCCAAAAGTATTAATTTGGAAAGGATATTTTTATATTAAATCACATTGCTTTCTCATTTCTTATGATTGTTGTAAAGTGAGGTGTCACAAACATATGAATATATGAGTATATATATTTCTGTGTCTATATAGTTACATATATATGTAATATGCACACAGAGATCTTATAGAGAGAGAGAACAGATAGATGGATATTTGTTGTTAAACAAACTCTTTTCTTGAAAAGACCATGCAGTTTGAAGAGGATGATCATGCCCCACCCGCTCCTCCCAACCCCTTCAGTCACCTCGCAGAAGGAGAACTTGAAGAGTATAAGAAGACAGTCGAACGTAAACAACAAGGCCTGGACGGTGAGTTCATTTTCAGTTGAAGTCTAGTCTAACTGTGCTTTCTAACAATGTTAGTGCCTTGATTTGGATGATTAAAGAAAGCAGCCAATATTTGTAAAGAATTGTCCTTTTTGTAATCAGATGTTCTCTTTCTTCTTTCCCATTAGTGAGATAGTTGAGATAGAAATACAAAGAACTGTCACAGGCTATATATCTTAACAAGTAGAGAAATAACTTTTTGCCTGTCTGATTGTTTGCTTTCCGACACAGTTTAATGTATTAGCTAAACTAGATGATGCCACATTAATAGGTTTAAACACAGCACAGTAGATGACAGTTTTCACTTTTCATTTTAGAGTAATTATAGATTCACATAAGGGACTCTGGAAAATTATAGATTCACAAGTTTGTGGTTTTAATGCTTAATAAAATCATTCCTGAGCATGTCAAGGTATCAGTTTTGCAATTTCAAAATAAAAATGTGAAACAGACTGCTAGTATTTTGATGTGACCTTCCCCAAGTACTTGACATTCTAATAAGGTTTAGTTTTCCCAAGTTCAGAACTTTTAATGAGTAGTCTATTAAAACTGAGTGGGGAAATGTTAATGAAAACCTCTCGGCTAATTGAATACTAACTTTTTCTCTAGAATAAATTTTTTGTATCAGGGTCTCTATTCTGGGTCTTTGGACAGATCCGTAATATACATGAGGGAAGAATATTAGGCGGAGGGCAGGAAGTCTGTAACCCCAAAAGAGAGCGGGAGCCTCTGCTTTAAGCATCTACATCAGTCAGTTGAAAATCTGTTTTCAAGTTTAACCTCAGGTAAAAGAGACAGCAGTAAAGCCTGTTTTTGTCCCTATAGTCATATAAACAGTCATTTCCAGTGTGTTAGTGCCAATGTCACAAGAGGGAGTCGTCTTGATTTATTAATATAATAAATGCTTTAAGTGATATTACAGAGTTTGTTTATTAAAACATAGAGTTGCAAATGTGCTGGTTTTCTCTTTTGTAAAATGTCCCTCTTTAATCTCTTATTTTTTTGAAAGCCTAAAGATGCCAGGTAACAAACATTGCACCCTAGGACCATCATCTTTTACGTAAACTTTATGGTGTCACCCACATTCATTACGACTTTCTGGAACAGCCCACTAATACTGCTCTGACAGCAATCACTAATTGGATTTTGCTCAGAAATTCTGCAAAGCATCCTGGCTCATTCTTAACGTAGCGACATTGGAGAGGCTTATAAATCTTTTTTTATCTTGGTGCTTAGTATATTTTTATTTTCTAACATTTTAGCAAAAGCTCATCACACATATTATTTGCCTGGGCTGCCAGTCGCTGTGCCTCCTTTGTTAGCCCTGTGTGTACGATTAGCACTAGCAGCCAGAAATGTTGGTACTTTAACTTCCTTCTAATGAATTACTACTGCCGTTTGCGATAACTGAGCATGCTCAGCTAATTGCTGAAGAGTTCATCATCTGTGTACGCAGTCACCTGATGTGTGTACTAACCGCTCTGACTTCTTAGGCTGCTTTGTTTTGTTTTGCATGGCTTTTAACTAAACTCTTCTCCAACAGACGCTGAGCAGGAATTACTCTCAGATGACGCTTCATCTGTTTCACAAATTCACTCTCAAACTCAGTCACCGCAAAATGTCCCCGAAAAACTAGAAGGTATTCAATGGAATTTCCCATAACATTCATTCGTGAGATAGTCTTAAACGTCTACTCCTTTGTCCTTTATGTTCATGTAAGAAAACTGAACACTTGAAGCAGTAAGTTTGTTATGAACTTGAATTGGGCCTTTTAATAGTTTTGAAATTTTTTAAAATAAATAATATGCTACTTTTGTTCAGCATTCTTGTAGATTTACTTTAAACTAGACTTTAGTCAACCCATCGTTCTTAAGAGTTTGTGGACTTTATTTGTCATAAGGCTTCCAATCAGAAACTTGAAATCTTTTTCAATTTTGGTTGCCAAAAGATGCCAAAACTAAGGAAAATTACAGAGTCTCTTTCTGATACCTATTAATTTTGTTTACATTGAAACTAATGTAATCAAACTGAAGCTGTCTTGATTTATACTCCCTTCTCATAATTTATGAAAGTTAGATTCATGTTATAAATCTCTACTTCATTAAAATACCTATCTTCACTGGAGTTCAAGCAATGCCTTAATACATTGATAAAACATTTTAGTTTTGTGAAATTTAGCAGAGATGTTAACTATTTAAAATAACAAGAGCAAACTACCTTTTGTAGAAAACCACGAGCTATTTTCCAAGAGCTTCCTCTCCATGGACGTGCCTGTCATGGTGGTGAACGGCAGGGATGGTCTGCACGAGGTTGAGGATGAGCTCGCAAAGCGAGTGAGTCGGCTGACCACGAGCCCCACTGTTGAGAACATCGAGATCACAATCAAGTCCCCAGAAAAAATTGAAGAAGTCCTGTCGCCCGAAGGCTCGCCTTCAAAATCACCATCCAAGAAAAAGAAGAAATTCCGCACTCCCTCGTTCCTGAAAAAGAACAAAAAAAAGGAGAAGGTTGAAGCCTAAGTAAAAATCTTTTTTATATAATTATCATTCTTACAATGTGACATTGCACATTTAAATACCACGTTTAAGTTGATCGTTAATATGCAGTGGTAGATCAGATGAGGGGTAAATAACAAACTGGACTCTTGAGAACTGGAAAGAAGTTTTACTAAAAGAAAAATATTGTGAAACAAAACTTGCAAATTCATCTCTCACTTTATATATCCAAAAATGGCTTTTAATTTTTCAAGACTTGCTGGTTTTAATTAGCTCTGCCCTCATAAGGTGATGCTACAGTCCACCACAGAGCAGTGGTGTGAATGGGTTCAGCCCTTCTCCATAGTATCTATTGGAAAGAAGTTACCAGTGAGCAAGAAAGAGAATTTTTTTCTTTCTCGACGATTGTCTCGCTTGGTAATCAGATGATAGTTTTTTTTTATTATGATTATTGACTGTACCTAGTGAGTCCCCATTGTTTCAATGGGCATTAACAGAAAGCTTTAAGAGCTTCTAAGACAAGCATCTATATAGCATTAGTGTACACTGGCACATAATATTTTTTTAAAAACTAAGAAGAGATTAATTTGAAATTTTACTCATTGTATAAAATTTCTCACCTGAAATAACTTTGTTTGCCAAAAAAAAGAAGTCATTTTAGTAAAATATAATTTTTGAAAACTTCCTTTTTTATTAGTTTAGAAAGCCCCTTATTTTTCAACAAAGGGGATTTTGTACACATAACATGGATTATTTAGTTTTAACTGGCAAAAGAAATCCAATTTTTATATGTTGAAATGTTTGTATACCACTCAGTATAAAAAGTGTCATATTAGCCAATCATTAAATAGTAGAGCATATTCGAGGCACTGAGTACACTTAAATATAATTTAAGAATCCAGGGAGTTGCTATGAAAAGGGGATAAGAGCATATAAAAGTATAACTGGATTCATATTTGAATCTGAAAATGTATTTTTCTCTTAGTATTGCTAATGAATGGAGAAAATCTCCTGTGTAACCAAACAAGAGGGAGACCGTGAAGGGAGGCAAAAGGTGGGACACGAAGTGAAGCGCTCTAGTTTGATAAGGACTCCTCTCCCAGTCATGAGAGAATTCAGTGTGGTTTCATGGAAACATGTCCTACAGCTCTAAAACCTAGTTTCTTTGCCAAAATTAATTTGAGTTTTTAAAAAGGTCAGGTTCTTTAATTTGTGTATCTATAGAGGGCAGCACTCAAAGAAAGCAGTGGGTCTCATCCCACCAGAGAGAAAACTACCACTTTTTTGATTTCTACAAATCTTTTTCTCTCTTCAGTTAGCGTTCTTTCTGATGTAAATACAGATTTAAACCTAGGCTTAATATAGTACTCCCTCCTTTTCCCACGTGATGTTACAAATCAGTGTAAAATCAGTGATCCCAAATGGCCCGTGGGTAAAAATGAACTCAAAATGTTTCATGAGGGTGAGTTGGCATGCTTAAAAAAAAACAAAAACGTTGATTACAGTGTGTCCTGGGCCGGTTCTGTTTGACTGTGAGTATGGTAATGCCAAGTTGCACCTGGAAATGTCATTCTAGATCTCACTAACTACTGGAGTCAGTGTTTGAATCTCTTAGAGGAGACCTTCAGTTGCTTAATTCTGTATCTGAGAATTTTTTTTTATGTTCTACACCATTTATGTTGTATTACAACGTATGTAGAAACAGTAACCTGTGAACTATGCTTTTCCATAACTTTTAAAAAAATATATATCTAAATGAATGCATTCTGCATAAATATTTTTAAACGCAACAGTGATCTATTTGCACCTTTTGCTAATGCCTCTATTTACTTGCTTTGGCATAAAGAATGAGCCAATGAACCTCTGTGTCCTGTGGAAAAAAAATGTATAAATGTTATCTGATATTGCTCTTAGATGTAATGCTAATTAATGTTAAATCACAAATAAACAGTATTTTAAATAGATGGCTTTAACACCGGGCTTTCAATTCAGGGTGGTTCGTTCGCTTGACTACTCAGTAGTTTTTTTATACTTAGTAAACTTTGAGTAAACAACATAGTCTGAATCAAGTATGTTCTGGCAAAATTCTTTTCAAATGAGTTAAAAATTAAGTATATAATATTCTAATTTCCACTTATTTTAGGAAAAAGTATTTCCCCCATGAGTACTTACCCATCTTGTTATAGGATTTGATGACCTTCATGGTCCCTCTGAAAATCTTTCCAAGACAGGGTCCTGTTCCTGTGTCAGTATTACCATTCAGACTAGTCCAAGTAGGTTATTAAAAGATGTTTTAGAATATGTGCTGAGAATGGGTTTGTCTGTTGTGTAGATAATAATATAACAAGAAGTACAGAAAGACAAAGTAGTTCACAGTCTTAACCACATTAACGTTTTTTTCCTTCCTAATTTGGTATTTCTTTCTAGCTTTTGTCCAATTTATGAATTTTCTACAGTGTGATAATCATGATGTGACTTTAATTTCAGTTCTGAGCAGTTTTTTTCTACTTAGTATAGCATAAACCAACTTAGAAGAGTTTCAAATGAAAGTCCTGATATGAATTAATGTTTTCTCGAGGGTTCCCCCCCACTTGGTCCTTAAAATAGAGTCAAGAAAGGAAATTATGTTAATTGAGGGTTCTAGTTAATCAAAATTTTTACTGTAATTACCCATTATAAAAATGAAGGGTCTAGGCAGAGAAGAATACATTCATCGTCTTAGGCATATTTAATTATTACTTTGACTTGTAAATAACCCTGTGGTATAGTGCTGTTTAAGAAAGATGCTTGTTTCAAAATTCCCTCCTGTAAAGCAACAAAATCAGTTATCCTCAGTTCTGACTTAATTAATACAACATGGGGGGCTGGAGAGGAAGAATGTCTATGCCTTTTCCTCTGTTGGTCAGTATTTTCATTCAGCTGGAAATAAAAAGGTGATGGTGGGAAAACTTATAAAACCATTGGCTTCCCTAAACATTGCTTCTTTTTTGCATAAGCATAAAACACATAAAGGTAAACGGGTACCTTTTTCCCCTCTTTATTTTAAAATCAAGAGTAAAGTTTATGTACTTACACACCTTACATAGTTTAAACTATTGGCCAACTTGGGGGGTTTTTAAGAACAGTTTTTTCTGTGACCACTAGAGGGTGGAATAGACCTAACAATCCAGTCTTTGCACCCTTTTCTTTCTTGGTCTGTTGGCACCAACCACCGTGCTTGTTATGAAATACCTGAAGATGGGGAAAGGACTTCCTTATCTGTTATTGTCCATCATTCTCCTTGCTCTGCTGCAGTCCCGTTTCACTAATACAGAGATCTCCAGCCGTGACGATGTCATTCGACTGAAGAATGTATTAAAAAACATTGAGGCATGATGTCAGAAGAAAGCTTTAGAGAAACATTCCTTGCAATTCTCATGCTCTTGAGTGTTAATACAGAGTCCCTTCTTCAAAAATGTGTGTGTGTGTGTGTGTGTTTACTGAGGAGCTAATCAGTAATATCTATCATTTATTGATCCCTTGATATACTAAATATCATGCCAAGTGCTATTCATTCATGTATTACCTCATTTGCTTTTTCCTATCCTAACAAAGCAGATGATATTATTCCCATTTTTAAGATAGTAAGACTAAGGTTTGGAGAGTCTGAGGAATAGGTGGTAATTGACCCACAGAGAGTTCGGCTTCTAGAATACCCAGTACCATCTCTGTGGCATGTGTTGTACCAATGGACATTTTTGTGAGTTTTTCTAGGAGATAGTCCTCTTTATGATAGAAGTTCAGCGATGGTAAATTCATGGTTTATAAGATTAAATTTGGTCTAAAACAGATTCTTTTTTATATATAATTATGAAGGCTTTAATAAATCACCTCAAGAATGAGTAAATGGCTTGTTGACTTAAAGTAAGAATGCCCTGCGGTGACAGCAGCCATGCCTGGATGCTTCACCGTGACACCTTGAAGACAACCTGTCTGTCTCCTTTTGCTTAGGACTCAACTAAGACTTGAGAAGATACCTGTTCCCTTTTTTTGCCCTTCAATATTGGACCAAGAGAAGACTAAGGAAATAGTTTCAAGAAACTGTAAAAATATCTTCATCTAGTAACAGAATCTAAAGTTATACTTAGTGTGCTTGGAAGTGAGTTTTCTTTAAGAAGAAGCCTTAATGTGCTTGTTGTGGTCAGAACAAGAATAAGGGGTTTTTGGTAGAGAGGGGGTGCAGAAAAAGAGTTTGTAAATTTACATTTCAAAGGGGCATCATTTCTAAGAGATGACCATTAGGGGGCAATGCTAAGTCTAAATTTAGGTTTATTTTAACTGAGAATTTCCTTCAAAATATCATTGAACTTATATGCATTTACAGAGGTAGACTGTCCAAAATTGAAGAATATTTGTAGATTTAAAATTCTATTATTGCCCCCATGAGTGTGAAATCTTCATAAAACTAGATGATAAGACAAACATTTAAACTCTTTGAATAGTGTGCTTCCAGATATATTTCACTCATGACTTGATTTTTTTAATTTACCTTTTATTTTTATATTGATTTGCTTACAAAGTTCGTATACGTTTGGGCCATATTATCCTTAATTCACATTGTATTTTATACAATCATTCCCATTTATTATGTTTTATAAAATTAATCACCACTGAACTATGCCCACCATTGACCATTTTTATGTAAAGAACAGTAAGTGTTTTAGGATTTGCTCAGCTCTGTACTGTGAAAGCCATAGTCAGAAGATAAATGCACAGGACTGTGCTCCAATAAAACTTTATTTACAAAAATATGTGGCAATATGTCATCCTGCAGCCCACAGTGTAGCTGAGAAAATGTCTTCTCCCTGATTACATGGCAGAATTCTGGCTCCAGATGGCTATGCTTTCATAGAATTCTGCAGTAACTCAGTATTTTTGGGGAGGCTTTTATGATCATTGCAACCTAAACTTTCATAAAACCAGACTAAGAATATTTGTCTTTCCTTCTAGAGTTTATCTCCATTGACCTCACACTTACCAGATATCCTAGAAATAGCAAAGATAGCCTTGGTTATGTTGAGACTTTCATGTGCTTGATTGACAGCAAAAGCATGTTTTAGAAGTGTGTCTGTCTCTCTCTCTCATTGCCACCAAGTTGGAACTGACCATCCAGCATATTTTCAGAGGCTGTAAATCCCAGAAGAGGAGATCTCCCATCTTTCTGCCTTGGAGCAGCTAGTGGATTTCAACTGCTGGCTTTTGGATTGACTGTGGCTTTTGGATTGACTGTGCCAAAACCCTTAAGATTAACTGTAATTACACTAGAAAAGTGATAACTGTAATAAGTAACTGACATTTATTCACAGTTTAAGAAGCATTTATTTTCCCAGTACTACATTTCTTCCTTTCAGTTTAATTATCTTGTTCTGACTTAAGAAGAATCATTGCTTTAGAGAACTTAAATGTAAAGTTCATAGGAAACGAACCAGAATCAAAGCAAAAGTCAGCATCACATACTTCACTTCTGGACAATTCCTTAAGGGATTCCCTTGGGAACACAATGAATTGTGACCTAGGAATTGATAGATAAATAATACAGTTTGTAAAAGTTCTTGGTAAATGAGTATTTAGAATTTTTTAGAAATAGTTTTGTACCATATGCACACTTAAACCTGTACATTATAATCAATTGTTTTTCCTAAAAACTCAAGTCTCTGAGATGCTGTGAGAGTCTTTTGAGTATTCTCACAAGTTAATTAAGTTGCTGATTTTCCTACGTGGAACCTG